GCATCTTCCTTGTAAATTAATTCTTCATTATTTTACTACCACCAGTAAACTCTAACACCGTACGTCTAAATTTTTATGATCAATTGATTAATGGAATAAAACGAACTTTAAGTGCACAGAAAAAAAAAAGAAAAAAAAGAATGAATATTAAGGTTCGTCCCTCGTAAGAGGCATATTATTTGTAAGGATTTGTAAATATTCATATTTCTTTCTTATATGTAAAAGAAAATGCCCCACAAATATCGGAAAATACGAAATTACCCCATACCTTTATATGACTTCGTAACGAATATATCCAATTACGAATTGTAGGTAATTACGAAACTGTCCAAAACCTTTACGTAATTACGAATTGCCCCTTATCTCTCGGGTGATAACGAATATATCCAATATATTTCGGGTATTAACGAAATTGACCCACATCTTGAAGTTATTGCGAAATTGCCCACAACATTCCGTAAATACATAGTTTCCCACCAACTTTCTGAAATTACAAATTTGGCCCACGTTTTTCCATCAATACAGAAATTGCCCCACAACTTTCGGAATTGCCTAACATTTATTTGATTGAATGCTAGCTATCATGCAGCTCGTATTATGCAAAAGAATCTTGTGTTAAAAGGATGATGGTTATGGTCATTCAAGGACCGATCACTAAGCTGAAGAAACAACAATGGGGTTTTTTTCATTTTGCCAAGAAGGAGATCCGTATCCTTATTGTTGGTCTTGATGCTGCTGGAAAGACCACCATTTTTTCAAGCTTGGCGAGACTATCACCACCATCTCCACTACTGGTGAACTGTAACACATCATTTCTTTTGATTAATCTTGGTTCCATGCTTATACGATAATCTTGGCGATGCAAAACTTTTTAATTGTTGTCTTAAGGTATATATATCTAGAGTATGTGCGCCACCAACGGTGAGGGACTGTACTAGGGCATGGACTGGCTCTCCAACAAACATTGCTATCAAAGTAAGCTTTCCAATACACATCCCAGCTGGTTATAACAATTTCGGGGGAAAGGTTCATATATATATGTAGCGGTTTAAAACTATCATCATAGACATTTTTTGTAGTCTTTTTTTTTTTTTGTGTGTGTGTGGTCATTTTGATATGTTTTTGATCTTCTGATAAAATAATTGTGTTTTTACCTGATGCACCAAGAAAATAGTAAGAAGCGATTATTCCACTTAAACTCGTGTAATACGTGATGCCAAGATGTAGGGTCTGAACTATTTATAATTATTTTTCGTTATAACTTTATTAATTGAAGGAAATGATGTCGATTATATGTAGAAAGAAACAAACTTGTAAACTTATAAACTATTTTTACCTTATATTTAAGAGATATTTAAAATTCTTGTCAAGGTCATGACCGAATCAGGCACTAAGATAATATTGTGTTTGATGTTGTAAGCAAAGGACTCTCTCGAAGCTTTTTTTTTTTTTTAACACACGTAAACAAATTATGTTTTTTCTCCTTTTCTTTTCAATTCTTTCTTGTTTTGAAACTGTAATATATTTGAATGGTCTCTCTCTATTTTTTTTCTCTTTGACGGCAGAATCAAGAGGGTCTCTCTGACAGACTTCCCACACAACAATGATTACCAAAAAAAAAAATGATTTTTGTTTCCAGAGTGTATCGAACATCGGTTAGTTCTTTCCAACATTTCCCCATGTGGAGAAAAGATCACATATCGGAAGATGTGAGGGGACTTAAGTAATATATAAAGGGTTAGGGCCAATTCACTTATTGCCAATTGATTTTAGGTTAGAACCCCACAATCTAACATGGTATCAGAGCCCGAACACACGCTGACCCATTAATTAATCCGGCCCGGATAAAGGCTCGATCACCCCATTAATTGATTGCCCAAAAGAAGGCCCAATTCCATTGAGATAGCTAGAAGAGCATTATCTCGAGGGGGCGTGATGGATTCTGTCGAGATTAATGGCTAAAAAGAGCCATTATCTCGAGGGGGCGTGTGGAGAAAAGATCACACATCGGAAGCCAATAACAAACCCTAATTTAACACCACAGTTCTCCTTTACCATTGAACCACTGCTGTGCGGGCAATATATGGCCTCTTATGATATTCTTGTTTCATTTCAAGCTCTCTCACGCCATTAACGTTCAAGTTATATATATGATCATGCATGTGTATTAACTTGAACGTCATAAAACTTGCTTATATATGATCAGCGTTATTCTTTTCCAACATATATATCAAATCTTCTTCTTTTTAATCTGCAAGAGATAGTAACCACCACGAAGATCATCTTTACCCAGTCCCACAACAATATTACTTTTTTTATATAAATATATTTCATTTGTTACAAAATCTAAATAACTACGTAACGTGACAGACTGCCATACGATGGAGATTAAAAAACAAACAAAAAAGGAAGAGCCTACCGACATCAAAATTAGTAGTTTAGTAGACTTACCAATCCGAAAACAAGAGAGTGTTATGTAAATAAGCATTATAGTTGTGGAATTTGTTTGGATCACATTGTTTAATTTTTTTCATTTGTTGATAAAAATATACATAATTGTGTAATTTCGTCACGTTGCTTTTGTTTGTTTCTGATCTTGAAGAGTACTCTTTAGTCTTTCCTTTCCCTTAATTAATTATTATTTTTTGGCTAAAACACACACACACACAAAAGTTAAAATATATATATATATATTTTCTAAGTAACTTAAAACCCTAATATCCAATTAAACTCACCTTTAATTTAACACACCCACCCATTTAATAGTAACAACCAATTTTGGAGTTGGATATAGGTAACTAAACCTTCCACGAGTACTTCATGGTCGTCTTCAAAGTTTATTATATTACCACTCCTTTTGAATTTGTCTTTTCGTTAAAATCCATTTAAAATATCTATGAAAACGAATAAACGATTTTCATAATATTTTTATATAATTAACTTCGTTTTCACTTTAACTTTTTAAAATTTCTTTTGAATTTTACTTAAACTAATATTTTCATTTCATCACCCCCACGATTAAAAAAGTTAAAATTTCATACCTGAAAGTGAAATTCAGTTTCTGTAATTATAAAAATGCAACTAGCAGAAAACAAAATTAAGAAAAGAAAAATTAAAAGAGTAATTCATTAATTTGGTCGGATTTACCCTTCGTGCTACGCCTATTTAATCAACCGTTGTGGTAGTCTTCATGAAAAATACTCACAAGCCAAAGGCCGAAGTAACCAAACTAAAACTTCTCAAACACTCAAGAAAACTTTCAAATTATCCTCTTAACCCAATCCTAAGACTTTTCCTTTGCCTATAATGGCCCCTGAGATTCCCGTAAACTCGATATATGTATCCGAAAAGGCGCAACAAGCACCTTCGAGGAGAGCTTATGTGACGTTTTTGGCAGGAAATGGAGACTACGTGAAGGGAGTGGTGGGATTAGCAAAAGGTTTGCGTAAGGTCAAAAGTGCTTATCCTCTTGTTGTTGCTATGTTACCTGACGTGCCTGAGGAACATAGAGAAATCTTGAGGTCTCAAGGCTGCGTTGTTCGTGAGATCGAGCCTGTTCATCCTCCAGACAACCAAGTTGAGTTTGCCATGGCGTATTACGTCCTCAACTACTCAAAACTACGTATTTGGAACGTAAGTGTATATTTCGATTCTTCACAAAACCTTGGCTAAGATGTAATATTATAGTTTAAGTTCTTTGTGGTTTTTCCTTACCTTTAAAGACTTCTTGCAGTTTGAAGAGTACAGCAAGATGATATACCTTGACGCAGATATCCAAGTCTTTGACAATATCGATCACCTGTTCGAGTTACCTGATGGGTACTTTCATGCCGTGATGGACTGTTTCTGTGAGAAAACATGGAGCCACTCGTTGCAGTATTCGATCGGGTATTGTCAACAGTGCCCGGAAAAGGTCACATGGCCGGAAGATATGGAATCTCCTCCTCCTCCTCTGTATTTCAACGCCGGTATGTTTGTGTTTGAGCCTAGTCCTTTGACTTATGAGAGTCTGCTTCAGACCCTGGAGATCACACCGCCTTCACCTTTTGCAGAACAAGTGAGTTACATTTGTTCATCGGTTTTTCAATTCTCCAAATCAAAACCAAGACCTGAATCAGGATTATAATGAATTTTTTTTTCGTAACTTTGATTTGACAGGATTTTCTCAATATGTTCTTTGAGAAAGTTTACAAACCGATACCTCTGGTATACAATCTGGTTCTTGCTATGCTTTGGCGTCACCCGGAGAACGTGGAGCTGGAGAAGGTCAAGGTTGTTCATTACTGTGCAGCTGTAAGTAGTTCTCTCTTTGCTCACTAATCTGAGGCAGTTTTGCTTGTTGCTGAAATTTGATATTTTTCATGTTTATGGTGATAATAATAGGGATCCAAGCCATGGAGATACACTGGAGAAGAAACTAACATGGACAGAGAAGACATCAAGATGTTAGTTGATAAATGGTGGGATGTATATAATGATGAAACTCTTGATTTCAAATCAAAGAACCCTGCAGATGTGGAAGGGACCGTTACAAAATCGAGCATCCTAGCATCGGTTCATGAACCGGAAATTACCTACTTTCCTGCACCTTCTGCTGCTTGAGATGTCTTGCAGGGAAGGGCACAAGACTTGGTTTGTTCCTCTATATATTTTCGTTTGATACACATATAAATAGTTTGAAATAGTATTAAGAAGATATAGAAACCCTGGTGAGTTGGAATCACAGTTCTTAGCTGCCCTTTCTCGACCCGAGAGGTTTTCAATAGTATTGCTAAAGTGTGTAAGGTGTTAAACTACTAATGAAATGAAGTATTTGTATTGATATATTTGGGTACAGAAAACACTACAACTGTTCAATCTGTTAGGCCTAGTAATTAAAAGGTGACCTATTGACTATCCTGCATCTTAGTGGCCTGACTATTTAAACTGCATAAAGCTTGGTTCTAGTTTCCATGGCATCATCTTCAATATTCATGCATGGAATGTTCTTGATCCGGATATAATTGAAAACGAAAAAGATCAGTAAGTGATGCAAAAAAGTGTTATTGGCTTTGGACAAACTATCTCAAGAACGTAACAAGTTCCAGATTCTTAAACATAGATCATGTAAGGTTTCTATGAACAGCTCTTCTCGTAACCATGAGAATTCGTAGCCATGGTAAAAGCTAATAACAGACGTAATTCTCACACATCGACTAACTAGTATATATACGTTATCAGAAGCAGATGTATCATTCCAGTGAGGTAGAGTAATACTCACCTTCTACTTCCTCATCTTCAAAGTATGATGTCTCAGAATCGCCATCAAAAAACAGAAAAGGAGCAGCTTCTTGGTCTTTCTGAGGTTTCCTCTCATTCATTCCTATAACCGTAACTATCTTTCTCTGGATACAGTCTTCTACAGCCTCACGTTCAACTTCAAGAGGCTGAAAGCCAAGAACTGATAAGCAATCCCCTTGGAAGTCCAAGTCAGTAGAGGAGAATATTAGGCCTGCTATTGATCTTGCAAGGTCAGGGACATAGCTGCATATCTAAGAAAGATAAACACCAACAACAAAAAATCTTGGTCAAAAACCGGTCGAAGTTTTTAAGAGATTGACACTAACAGTTCAAAAGAAATTGACCGATAGAGCACCTTACGAGCATGTGAGCTTAGAAGAAAACCCTCATGTTTAGCCTTCAAATCATTCAATGCACTTTTAATTCCCTTTTTCACAAGATTTATACCAGGCCCATTCTTCTGTCTTGTTGCATGTTGATTGTGATACCAATGAAGGGCGATTTCTATTTGTACAAATGAAGGGAAATTTTCCCATTCGAGAAACACATGTCCATCTTGATCATTAACATTCGCCAGAATCAAACCGTAACTTTTCCAGTCAATCTTTTTCAATGCACTCAAGGCAAAATGTGGAACAGGGGAAGGTGAGAAGTTGTCAAAGTATAAAACCTGGGGAAATCCATCATTTAAGATCAGCCAATCTTACGTTACATCTCATTATGAGCTATTATTAGTTTGAGACTTAAACAAACCTCTGTTTTGCCGTCGCATGATCTGCTGCAATGCTGAGTTGAATCTAGCAAGTCACTTATCACAATCACCACTTCCATCGTCCCTCCAACTCTCTTAGGTCTGTCTTCATGGCATACTATCCCACTTCCAACTTTTAGATGCTCTCTGAAATTAAAATATACCCAGATTTGTCAGAATTAACTTGTGGATTAACTTGACAGGCATTTCTTCAAGTAGTCGAAGCTAACTAAGTTAAGTCGAAAGTGTCCCAGAAACAAGAATATATACCTTTCAGAGAAGCAATAATCACACATTGTATCCAAACAGTTCCCATGCCTTAAAACATAGTTCTCAAGACCAAATTTCAACCGTTCAAGATTGGTGGCAGTAAAGCATGGAGTTTTGTCAGCGTTCACTGCAAAGACGTATTGAGTTTGTGTACCAGGAGAATCCCCTTGTTTAACCATCAGATCCATTGTGACATTCTGAGAGGACGAACAAAACAGCATTTTTTTCAGTTCCATGATTTGTCAGTTCTGTTACTATCATGTGTACTAAAACAAAATTTAAATAAAATTGTCGTTAAAGGGAGAAAAATGAACTTACAGGTATATGAAGAACAAGCATCTGCAAGATAACAGGGAACAAATATCATGACAGGATACCTTAAGGAATTATGAGGGAACTAAACTTGACGAAACTGACTACACTCAAGTGATAGCGCCAGGAGGCTGACAGTACCAATTTAAAAGATATACGAGATCATCAATTTCCAAAGCTCCACAGACTAAATCTAAACACTAAACAAGCTTCGGTAATTCATAGACACTGAGTCATTGCTTGACCTAATTCAAGCAATAATGTAACTACTGGTTAACTAAACTCAAAGACTTCAAACATAACTGTCCTCCCAAACTCCAACCACCGTTGAAATTCAGAACCGTTCTTTCTCCATTAAATAGGGGATATGTATGCTCTTTATCTTGGTTCTATAACAAGTTGTCAGCAGTATTTTTGATTGTCATTTCTATGGTCACATTATCCCATATTCTGAACACTAACTACCAATAAGCATACTTAAATTCAGTTGAAATCAGTATGTAAAAGATAAAACAAGGATGCAGAAGAGAAAGGAAGACCTTTTGAAAGAAGCCAAGTATTGGGGCCATAAGAACGTCCATACTCCCAAAAACACTCAGGGATACTTCCGTCCCACTGAATACAACACAAACAGAATATACAAACAAGTCAAGACACTCACAACGGCTAAAAAAAACAGTAAAAAAAGATACATATATAGATATAGATTGAAGAATTTACACACCTAAACTTTGCACCATTCTTAGCCTGAGAAGGTTGCCTTTTCAGTCTTTTGTTTGATATATAATCCTCAAGATTTATATGATAACAGTATACCTCATCGTCAGTAAAGCCTGCACAGTGGACGAGGTTAAAAGAAAAATAGAAACAAGTTCTACAATGGTTCTTTAGATGACTCAAAATGATAATCTGTAGGTTTGTGGAGAAACAAAAGCAATTAAAGGGCATAAGCAAGCTTTCACGTCTACTGCACCAAAAAAAGAATCAATCAAAGGGAAAGAAAACTTACAAGTTGTCTTCACTGAGAGTAACCCATCTGCATCAAATAACCCACACCATTCAGAATCGCTTTAAACATAGAATTTGCATCAAACAAACACTTTTACGACTCTTAAAAAGAACATACAGACCCCAAATTTTCACTCCATTGAACTCTCTAGGGCACCTCAGATCCTGAAATTGCTCCAAATTGCATCCAATTCCAGTATCCGAAACTGTACATAAGAACCAAATTGATAGATAATGAGACTAATTTCGCGAAAAAAATATAGAAGATTCAAATTCCCCAATCAAGAGCGACCCAGATTCCAAAACCAAAATTAGGGATAATAGAGAGTGAAGATTACTCGAAACAGACGTGATCGAAGGATCCTTATCAGTAGATTGATCATGGAGAAGAAGAACTGATAATCTACAGAGATCTTCTGATAAACGGCATCTTTGAAAAGCAGACGAGATCAACTGCACAAATCGAAACCCCTATGAAAACTTGAGAGCAGAAAAGTTTCAGAGAGGGGAAGCGGAGGAGAAAAAATCGATCGGTGACTTACTTGTAGAAGAAACTTCGGAGCCACCGCGGTGATCTCCATGGCCAAGGTCCTTCGCTTTCGATATAGTCTGTCCCTGTCCCGCCTATCCCCAAAATTTCGAAATCCAATTTCTAGAAAGGAAATTAAATAAATAAAAGGAAAAATTTAAGATATTGATTTTTGGGCAAACTGTTTTTTTTTTTTTTTGGGACAAAATGACAAAAAATAATTCATAAAATTGATTTTTTGGCTAAATATATGAAACTTTTTTTAGCATAATGTATATTTTAGTGAGTATTAGATTTTTGTAACAAAAATAATTATTTAAAAAAGTATTTTTCATATGAGTACAAAATGAACTATTATATGAACTAAACAAAACCTAAAATAAAATACTTATTTAAAATGATTACTTTGTTGTTTTTTTCTTATAGAATGAGTAGTATATTAATATTATTAATGATGATAAATTAAAATAAAAAAATGTGACATGAAATTAATTGAAAGATACAAAATAAGATAACATTGTCACTCACCTCATTTTTTTTAGCATGTATCATAAATATACTAATCCTCTGATAAAATCAAATCAAACATTGTTATATGATAGTAATACATTAATCTATATAATATGTAGATACATTCAGAAATAGATGTAGATTGTGGTATTACTCTTGTTATATTTAGATAGATGAGTCAAGTCTAGTATCTCAAACATTTTAGAAATGTTATATATAATTTATTATATCATTATTATTTTTAATTCTTATAAATATTGCATTGTTTTTGAAAATAGTTGACATGTGTCACCATCTTGATACATAATAATTATGTTTAAATAAATTTTTCTTTCTACAATATAACGATGATACTAACATCTATAAATTCTAACTTCTACAAATCACATATAAATTTCAACATAGACATCTACCCAAAGGTTCAATTTAACGTAATTAAGGATATGGAAAATGAGATGGAAGAAAAGTTTGAAAATTGGAGAGGGAGAGAGACCATTCCTGACAAACATGGTGGGATTAGAGCTGCTTCTATAATTTGTGGTAAATTAGATTATCTTCTTGCATGAAACTCAAAAAAACTTAATTTTTTGAATAATAATAGTGATTTTAATTTAAGAAATGATATATATACAGTATGTGTGTATTTTGGTGAGTGTTGATATAGTTGTGGAGCTAATGGAGGTCATGGTGTCCATAGCTATTGGAAACAACATGGTGTTATATCTCATGGAATCAATGCATTACTCGCCAGCCAACGCAGCAAACATGATTACCAATTTCATTGGAACGTGAACGTCGTATTTGCTCACTCTCTTTGGTGGTTTCGTGGTTGACTCGTTCCTCACTCGCTCCACCACTTTCATCATCTTCTGTTCTATTGAAATCTTGGTAATTGAAAAACTCCATCAAGTTTTGTATATCTGAAAATGAAACAAATCAACCAATTAACTTAAAGAGTTTAATTCTTTGATAGGGTTTGATTGTTTTGTCATTCCAAGCTCATAACCCTAACCTACAACCCGAAGGAGATAATACACCTTCGACTCTTCAATCAACGGTTCTTTCCACGGGAGTTTACGCGATCGCATTTGGTACTGGTGGTACTAGGCCCTCGTTGCTTGCACATGGAGGCGATCAGTTTGACAGTAGACATCAGAGACTGATCTCAAAATTCTTCAATTGGTACTACTTCTCCATCTGCTCTGGATGGCTCATGGCCGTTACCGTTATGGCGTGGATCAAAGATATTTTCGATATTTCAGTTGTGGTTCTAGCGATCGCGCTATGCATTTTCTTAGCAGGATTACCATTTTACCGATTAAAACGTCCTAGTGGAAGTCCGTTCACAAGAATTGCAAATGTGTTTGTTTCTGCCGCAAGATATCGAAATAATTCTGTTTTGGATGTTGAGATGATGCAAAGTCTTACATCTACCGACAACAACATTGATCACCACAACAAGTTAAAGTTAGTACTTACTTCAGATATTGGTACTAACAATGCGAACCAAACTATGTATAAAATGATCGTTTTGTGTCCTAATTTTTTTTTCTTCTTTTCAGGTGTTTAGATCAAGCATTGCTGAACAAAAACATCTCAACAACACAAGTTGAAGAAACAAGAACATTTCTTGGTCTCTTACCAATCTTTTTGAGCAATATTGTCATGAATACTTGTGTGGCACAGTTACTGACCTTCACAGTACAACAAGGCATGACCATGAATAGAAAAATAACTCCTTCATTCGAGATACCCGTACCTTCACTAAACGTCATCCTCGCTTGAGACGCTTCCATACCCTTATACGAACTCTTGGGAAAAAGTGCCAACAGAACATCAAGCTTTGCTTTGAAACGCATTGGACTCGGCCTAACACTCTCATCTATTTCAATGGCGGTTGCAGCCATCGTCGAGGCCAATAGGAAACATGAAGCGGTTCAAAACAACTTCATAATATCTGTTTTCTGGCTATTGTTTCAGTACATCATGCTAAGTTTCTCGGATATATCAACACTGGGAGGGATGCAAGAGTTTTTCTACAGAGAAGCTCCAACGAGCATGAAGAGTATGAGCGTAGCGTTAGGGTGGTGTTCCATCGCAATAGGTTTCTTCTTTAGTTCATTTCTTGTGGAGATCACAAACGCAGTCACGGGAAAGCTTGGACATCAATGGTTGGGTGGAGAAGATCTCAACAAATCCAAAGTTGATATGTTTTATGTGCTTCTATGTGTTCTTAACACTCTTAATCTTCTCAACTATATTTTTTGGGCTAAAAAATATTGAGCAGATGCATAATGTATTACTGATATTAAGTTGCTTTTTTTGTATTTGTTGGCATAACAATCAACTAGTGGATATGCTTTTGGCCTTTAGGGTATTTGATTCAGCATATAATTAAGTGCAAACACGTCTTGCAGTCCGGTGAACTATTTTAACAAATGTACTATATCACTGTCACAAATTACTAGGCCGTACCGCTGTCGGAAGTCGGAACAGGTCAGTGGACACCAGTGTGTACATGTGCTGTAGACAATTCCATTATTATCTTAATTAAACATTAGGGAAAAATTCCAAAAAAAAACATGACTTGTTTAATATTTGTCAGAAAAATATTTGAACTTTTCTTGTTACTAGAAAAAGCGTAAACTAATTTATAATTGATAAAAAATACATGAATTATTCCGATTTTTCAGTTTTCCATTTATCATAGTCACGATTTTCGACGAAATTAACGCAAGCATAAATATATCGAAAAGAGAGATATTATTATGATTATGACTAGGACAAGAATGAGACTTCTTCACGAGATTGTAATAGTAACAATGTTTACTATTGTGTTAGTTTCATTGAAAATCGTGACCATGATATGTGGGAAATTGGAAAATCGGAATAGTTCACATATTTTTTATCATCTATAAATTAGTTTGCGTATATTTCTGGCAACAGAAAAAATTTATGGATTTTTCTAGCAAATATTAAATATGTTTCTTTTAATGTTCCTCCTTCTTGTATCTTACATTATGTATAACCTTTCTATTTCTAATATAATTAAATTCAGATGTTAAAAAAAACATTATAATACACATTTTCATTACCTGAAAAATACAAAATATACAATTGCATTGTTTAATTAACTCATAAAAAATATATGAAAAAATGAAATTAAACGTGTGTAACATAAAAGTTACAAAATCTTCTCTGAAGCCAAGATTTAGCCATCACGTTCTAAATTGATTTATATATTCTAGTCACGTTTGTGTGGTAGTATAACTGTATAAGAAGAAACTTCTATGCAACCAAAGTTAGCCATCACATACATACACGATCTTCATTCCTCCTGCTTTTCCTAATCCATCCCTAAATTTTCTCTTTTATCAAAATGTCCCCGCAAACTCCTTTGGACTTGAGCCATGCATCCGAGAAGGCTCATAAGGAGAGAGCCTACGTGACGTTTTTGGCAGGAAATGGAGACTACGTGAAGGGAGTGGTAGGATTAGCAAAAGGTTTGCGTAAGGTTAAAAGTGCTTATCCTCTTGTTGTTGCTATGTTGCCTGATGTGCCTGAGGAACATAGAGAGATCTTGAGGTCTCAAGGCTGCGTCGTACGTGAGATCGAGCCTGTTCACCCTCCGGATAGCGAGGATGCATACGCAAGGGCTTATTACATAATTAACTACTCCAAGCTACGAATATGGAACGTACGTATATATACATAGATTTCATGCACAAATTGAGACCTCTCGATTGTATTCTTCTTCTTTGCATTTGTTTTTACAAAACCATTTAAAAAGTATTATGTTTTCTTTCTTCCAAATAAAATTTCATTTGTAGTGTTCTAATCATAATTTCCTTATAAATTTTATTTTATATACACCTTATACAATATAATTTACAAAAGTATGTATATGAAAATATCTATATTTATAACTGTAAACTATTTGTGTTTGTAATCAGACTATATACCCTCAACTTATACTCTCTATATATATGTTACATTATTGTATTTAGTTTTTGTTTTATAAAGAATGTTATATTGTGTTTGCATACTTATAAAACACATTTTAAGATATGTTTTATAGTTTTTGAATCTATTTATTAGAAGAAAAAAATTAGATGGAATATTAATAAAATGTATGATAGAAATTCTTAAATTGAAACGTAAATGGTATATGTAATGTAAGTTAATGTGTTTGTGACTAATGACTAATTAAACTTGCAGTTTGAAGAGTACGACAAGATGATCTACTTGGATGCAGATATTCAAGTCTTTGACAATGTTGATGACCTCTTTGATATGGAAGATGGCTATTTGCACGGTGTGTTGAGTTGTTTCTGTGAGACAATATGGAGTTACACTCCACTCTACTCGATCGGGTACTGTCAATATTGTCCAGAGAAGGTCATGTGGCCGACCGAGATGAAATCTGCTCCTCCTCCTCCTCCATACTTCAATGCTGGTATGTTTGTGTTTGAGCCTAATCCTTTGACATATGAGCGTCTCCTTCAGACCCTCAAGGTTACTCCACCTACACCCTTTGCCGAGCAAGTGAGTGACATATATATACATCCGTTTTTATTCGAATATTAATTTTTGGGTTTTGATGTATGATTTTTTGGTATTATCTGTTGGATATGGTCAGGATTTTCTCAATATGTTCTTTGAGAAAGTATTTAAACCAGTCCCTCCGGTTTACAACTTGATTTTGTCTGTGCTTTGGCGCCATCCGGGGAAGGTTGACCTGGAGAGAGTCAAAGTTGTTCACTACTGTCCACCTGTAAGCAATTTTTTCCTTTTATTCCAAACCCATATGAAGAAATGCATTTTTGTATGGGATGAGACATGACTATAATTTTGTTCCCATGCTCTCTCATCTTGCTTATTGCATGGGTTCTTACACAAATCTTAGTGTAAGAACCCATGCAATAAGGATGGCCTTATTAACGTTTATTAAGCGTATCATATAGCCAGTTTAGCTTTGTCGTCTAAACTTAATTAGTCTTTTTATATATCTACTACTATTGATGAAAATAAAATGATAGGGATCCAAACCATGGAGGTACACAGGAGAAGAGCCTAACATGGACAGAGAAGACGTTAAAATGTTAATTAAGAAATGGTGGGATGTTTATAACGACGAGTCTCTTGATTTCAAACCTAAAAGCCCTGCAAATTTGGAAGCAAACGTTTCAAAATCAACAATTCTAGCTTCCGTAACACAAGCAGCACTTTGATACTCTCCTGATGCACCTTCTGCCGCTTGAGAAATCTTAAGACACTACTCCCACACAAGGATGTGTGTTTGAAGCAAGCTGGTGTGTTTTGATTCTCATTTTTTGTATATGTGTTTGTGTGGTTTTGAAGTTTGAAGTTTGTGTGCCAGCTGCCAAGAATTACTTATTTCAAACTACAAATGGCCTATTTCAATTTGTAGCTTATGAATCTGTTCAATAACCAACCTAACCCTCAGAGTCTCAGACCCAGGATTGGGTGATTTTTATCATTGAATTCAGAAATTGGTTTCTTATATAAACTATATATAGTCACATGCTATCAACTTATGATCACCAAATGCCCCGACCATCCCACCCAATGTTACTAGTGGACCTATCTACAAGGTCAGAAACGAGAGTGATCAATGTATGGTTTATGACAGTGACTGTTATTACAAGTGGTCGACAAATGCTTCCATATCTTCTTAATAAGGACAAGACATAGTACAAGGCTCTTCCATGTCCTCTTAATACGACAATCTTATCAGCAACCATGCGGTGGAACTTGAAGTCAATGGGAAGCATTTACTGCCGATTCTAAAACATTGGACTATTTATTATTTTCTTATATAGTTTTTTTTTTGTTTTTTTGGTTTTAACAGAAATTAACAAAGAAAAGAAAATTTTGATTTTTGACATATACTTTTTTTTGGTCTCAAGATTCTCTTGTCACCTTGAAAATTACTAACAACTCCATATAGTAATGTATTATGTATATAACTTTTTTCTAGACAACAACACTTCTAACTTTTATTTTAAAATATGAAAAAATGAATTATGAACCAAAAAAAATGTTTTTTTACGTCCGTCCTTTAACCAAATGAATACGAAAATGTAAATGGTTCTTAATTGTAATAAAAAAATTCATGCGAGATGTAACATTTTCTTTTTAATTATGTACCATGTGGAGGACTAAATGAAAGATTTTAAAAGTAATATTAAAAAGGTTGTAACATTTTTTTAAATTATGTACGATGTTGAGGGCTAAATGAAAGATTTTAAAAGTAATATTAAAAAGATTACAATATAAATTATTCTTCATTTTTTCGCCGTTATCATATACTGTTAAATCTTTATTAAATATATCATGATATTTTTTTTTCTGATGTCAAAAATATTAAACTCATTAAATAAAACACACAATACAATAGTTCTATTTTGAGAAAACGTATCTTCTACTTTCAAAAACAAAAACACCTTTTGATTTACCTTACTATTTTTTATTTTTAATTATATAACAAAACAATAAAATAATTTCTATCCAATCCTGAAAAGAGCAAATGACAAGTCAGCAAAGTTCGTCTCTCTTTCTTTGGAAAAACATAAAGAAAAAAATATAAAAATTGACGCAATCAATTGGGACAGCCAAACATTGCTCCATGGAGAAGAAAAAACAAGTCAGCCATGGTTGAAGAGAAAACAAAAGTAGATAGATAGATAGATATGTTAGATCCAAAGTAGTTGTTGATCGTTGAATTACTTTCTCAATTTTAAACCTTTAACCATACCCAAAAAAAAAAAAAAAAAAAAACCCCCGCCATGGATCCGACTCAAATCTCTCATTTGGCTCTCGACATCGGAGGTAATAACAATAAAAAGAAAAAAAGACCAAACTTTGCTTTGCTTTGATTCGTTTCTAGATTTGTTGGGCTCTGTGGTCATCTCGATTGATCTCGAATTAACCGGAATTGGGGGATTTTGTGTGATTCTGGTTTTGGTGTAGGGACTCTGGTCAAGCTTGTGTATTTCTCTGCAAATGGTGATTACAACGAAGAGTCTCGTAGTAATGGTTGCTCTGTTGTGAAAGGGAGGCTTTGTTTCGCTAAGTTTGAGACCAGAAAGATTGATGATTGTTTGGAGTTTATCCGATTCAATATTCTTCAACATTCCGGTAAAGTGTGGATTTTTTTTAATGATCTTAACCTCTGAAATGTATTCAGAAGCTTTCTAACCAATTTAAAGTGGCTGAATGAGTTCTTAGTTTCCTGATTTCGGAGAAAAATGGTGACTTTGAATCATCAAAGACTCAAGTTTATTGATTTCTTTGCCGAGAGTTGAGTTGAGTTAAGTTCCTTTGTTTATTTCACTGACAATGGTAATTATTCAGGTGTTCAGCATTCGAATGGCGCAGTCCATGATGATTATCTATCTGTTAAGGTAAAAGCTATCATCGGCTAAAAGCTTTTTGTAGTGAGGAATGTTGCAGTGGGAATTTCAGTTTGTAGTTGATTATGTATGGCCTACTAATTGGTATGTCTATCATTCCAAAAGGCCACAGGTGGTGGGGCATTTAAGTTTGCTGATCTCTTTAAGGAGAAACTCGGAATTCTTTTCGATAAAGAAGATGAAATGCATTCTCTTGTTGGGGGTGTAAATTTTCTCTTGAAGGTTAGGTTTTTTTTTTTTTCATTCTTATCACCATCTTCTGTTCATTTTATACCTAAGTGAGGTTTCCCATCTGTTATATATGTACATCTTGTCTGCTTTTCAAATCTACTTTTTGTTTTCTTTCCTTGCTAACACACTTGATCAGCCCTGCACGCTGAAGAGTCTATGGCAACAAACTTATTTATTTGGCTGCTAATTCCAATATGTGTGAAGTTGTATTATGTTTTCCTGATTGAGATTATCTCTTGGTCTGCGTGGTGTCCTAGATAAACATCTGGAAGACTGCATTTAGGACATCAAATATTTGATGATAATGGTAATCTGTTGTTGTGCATAAATGATGTGTGCTATGAGGTCTTCTGTGAGTTAGCTTTCTCAATGCATCAAAAATATCTGTGGCAGAATAGTTTTTTGACAAACTTCTTGTTTTTGCCATTTTAAAATCACTTCTAATCCACAAAAGAAGTATTACTTAACAAAAAAAGATCTTGCATGATTGCAGACAGTCCCAAGGGAAGCTTTTACCTACTTAGATGGCCAGAAGGAGTTTGTCGAGATTGACCATAATGATCTGTATCCATATCTACTTGTTAATATAGGCTCTGGTGTTAGCATGATCAAGGTTTTTATGGTTTTGGTTTCTCTGATCACTTTGATTTTGTTTGCAACTACATCAGCGATGTTGCTTACTCAAACTCATTCTTCTGTAGGTCGATGGAGATGGCAAGTATGAGCGGATAAGTGGAACAAGCCTTGGTGGAGGAACATTTTTAGGTCTTGGAAAGCTTTTAACGAAATGCAAGAGGTGACTTCTTAGTTAACTCTAATCATATGCGTAGTTTCCTCCTTGCCTGAGTAACTATTAATATCTCTTAAAATCAGTTTTGATGAGCTGCTCGAGTTAAGTCATCATGGAAATAACAGAGTAATTGACATGCTTGTGGGGGATATCTACGGTGGAACAGATTATTCAAAGGTAATTGATTAATCATAGTTTGCTAAAGTCATAGATTGGATATTCATATGTAAAATCCAATCCTTCTTTTTTCATTTTATCGTTTTTTTCTGTAGATTGGTCTCTCCTCAACAGCTATTGCTTCCAGCTTTGGGAAAGCAATATCCGATGGGAAAGAACTTGAAGATTACCAGCCAGAAGATGTCGCAAGATCCCTTCTAAGAATGATATCAAATAACATCGGTCAGGTCAGTTCCTCTGAACAGTTTATTGCCATCTTACAGAAAACTTGAAGCAGGTGATTTTTCTGATTGGATTGTAACATTTACTACTGTCTCACTTTCTCTCCAGATTGCTTATTTGAATGCTCTCAGATTCGGTCTTAAACGTATTTTCTTTGGTGGATTTTTCATCCGTGGGCTCGAGTACACCATGGACACAATCTCTGTTGCTGTTCACTTTTGGTAAATCCAAAACTGAAACTAGTTAATCAAATCTCTCCTTATCTAAAACCCATCTTTGTAAAATTGTCTCATTTCAGGTCAAGAGGTGAGGCAAAAGCAATGTTTTTACGACATGAAGGGTTTCTTGGAGCATTAGGCGCATTCACGAGCTACGAAACTCATAGTCAGAACGATTCAAAACCGCATCATCATACTGCGCAAAGAGCAATTCTCAACTGTTCAGGTGATGATAACTTACGGCACATAAATGATAGCGAAACCATAGAATACAGCATCAGTTTAGTTTAGCTATCAACTGTTGTATTGTTATCAAATTCAATGTAGAAATATGTTAATTATCAACTGTTTGGATTCAAGAGCTATGCTCATTAGTACTTGTTGAATATGTAAGACTCATTTATGCAAACATGATTCACTTACTAATATTCATGTACGTCCAATGTAACTTGTACTATAGTCCCATAAAGAACCAAATACACAGTTATAGAGCTTGCTCTTAAGTCTTGGTTGAGTTCGGTTCAATGTATGTTGTTGTTGAAGATCAAAGTTTACTCCGGTTAAACCACACTGATGTAACCCAAAACTGAACCGGATAAGCAATCCAAGAACTGAACAACATCTTTATTCGGTTTTGTTTTTAAACAAATCATTGAAACCGTGTTTATAAACATAGATTTGTACGACTTTATGTAAATTCATATCCTTGTAAACCGAGAAATTTAAAAATCAAAACTAAAACCGGATTTAACATTCGGATAGTCCCGGCGAAGCAAAGTTTCCTCCACATTTCCGGTGGCTTTACACGTGTCATTCATACCTCTCTGTCTTCCTCATTCCTTATTTTCTTCTTCTTTCGTCGATTTCAATTTCGATTTCATCTTGCCGACGATTAGCTAGCTAACTTCCTAATAAATCATCTCCGACCACCGCAACATCACGACGGACCGTGCTAGCGAAGTCTACACAACTCTACTACCTTCAATTCTCTTTTCGTCAAAGTCGTAAGAAGTTTGGAATTGATCTGATCTTCATCTACCAATATCTCGGACAGGTAAGAAACTTTTCATCCAACATCATCTACGTTTAGCTAATTCCCGATTCTTATATCTCCATGATCTTAATTGCAGTAGATCCACCTTCGATTCGTTTCATCTCCTTACCTGAAATCGCTTCGTTCTTCAAACTGGGCACAAAACATGGTACGGATCATCATCTTCTTATCCGTTGTTAATCAGCCTTAATCCTAATTTAGTTTGTATGGCGAGTAACTAGTGAATTTCGATGAGATTGTTCTATTGGTTCCATTTGGGTATTTGAAATCACTGCTTGAACTTGTTGAATCTGTGATGCTCATTTTGTTCATGATTGCTTATGGTTAAACGCTCTTAATCAGGTTTATCACTCGAGCTTTGTGGATGAAGAAGGGATAACAAAGGCATGTGGCTGCCCGTTGCTTCCTCTCAAGAGCCATATTAAGGGTCCTGCACCAGTTTCAGAACAAGGTATTAGTCAAAAGAGTTACAGTTTTTCGAAATTGCGATGAAAGTGTTTATAAAACATTTTGGTTTTTATATGCAGATAAAACTGATATAGTGGACGAGGCAATCAGCTTCTTTCGTGCGAACGTCTTCTTTACAAACTTTGATATCAAAAGTCCTGCTGATAAGCTCCTTATTTACTTGACGTTCTACATAAATGTGGCGTTAAAGAGGCTCGAAGGATGCAGAACGTTGGCTGTAGGAACTAAAGCGATTATCAACTTGGGTTTAGAAGATATTCCTGTTCCTGGAGAAACTGGCTTTCCTTTCCCTGGCCTCTTTTCGCTTCCTCAGTCCCAGGATGAAGCAGGTACATGTCTAAATAACTCTTAATAATTCCTCGGTTTTTCTTTCGGTTTAATAGGTCCTTAGCCTTGTGTTCTGTTGGCTTCAAATGTCAGATCTTTTCAGGAACTATCTAAAGCAAGTTCGTGAGGAGACAAGTGGGAGGCTACTGAGTGTAGCGTATAGAGCCAACGGGACACCTAACAAATGGTGGCTTGCGTTCGCCAAGAGGAAATTCATGAACGTGGTCGTCCTATGATGAATTGATTATCATTAGTAAGTATCACTATAGTTTACTGGATACAGTTATCCAAAAATCCAACACTGATCTTAGATCCATCTCAAATAGTTCATAAAATATTTCTACATTTCAAGCTTAAGAATTTCTCCTTTTGATCTGAATTTTCATAATTTAGCAGTTGGTTATTTTTCCGAAGCCACTGGAGATCATGAGCATCACTGCTTTCAGCTTCCTCTGCGTAGGTGTTAGCCAATGGAACCAGGAAGACGAAAATCCCATCTGAGAGCATAAAGCAAAGCTCTCTCTCTGAATATATTATTATACATAGGGTGTGCCAATGTATTGTTTCATACAACTGTTGGAATCTAAATTTTGTTGAACAAGATCAAAGTTAAATAAGAAATCATATTATTAATACTTTAGATTAACAGAGATTATATCAAAGGTCTTATCAGACTGTAGCCACACGTCCATACTCTCATCAATTATACAGGGTAAGGAAAGAGCTTAACGGTACACCTAATGGCATAACTGTGCCTGAAGTTATCCGTCAGGCCTTAGTGCACACGTTCCCATCACAAACCCAACCATCTTCGGGGTCACCGCCACCTTCTTTCACAGCCTCATCACCGTTTCCTTTCGTCTCCTCCTTTAAAGCACACTTTACATGAAGATCAAAGTCGCATTCATCGCAATGGTAAGACCAGATTGCTCCTTCTTCATCACACTTATCGCACACGTAAACCTGAATACGGCTCAGTTCTAGCTCATGCTCTTCATGAAGAACATGTTTAACCTTCGTAGGCCACTCTTTCGCCATCTCATCGTACTTGGCTTCAATCTCCTTCAAACGTTCCTCAGTAAAAGGGTAAGCATCGGCTCCATGGGCTACCACAAGGTCCCTTGCTTCTTTTGTTACTGTTTTCCCAGTTTGTCCCAGAGCTGCTAGCATTGGGATCCCACCGACCTTAAAGGTTCGTGCCAAGGATTCTTTCCTAGGATCACCAAATGGAAGAGCCAGCCACGGCATTTGCGAGTAGTACTCATCAAATGATTCCTGGTCACGGTCACTGGAGATGAAGATCAGTTCAAATGCTTCATCCCGCTCCTTTATCTGCTTGTATACTTCAACAAGCTTTGGTGTAAAAGCACGACAAGGAGGACACCAGTGAGCTGAGAAGTACATAAGAATGTTCTTCCCCACCAGATCCGAAACAAGCACCTACCAAAGTGAGCCAAATTTGTACAGGTTGTATCAGATCAGCCTCAAGGAACAGCTTTTAGAAAATGAAGAGGGTATTGACAGCTATACCTTAGCCCCATCTTTTCCGAGAACGTAGTTGAGATCACCTGATACAAGAATTGACTCGAGCGTTTGAGCCTCTATCTTTGCCTTTTCTATCTCTTTGAGTTCTTCAAACTTCTCTGGAGTGAAAGGATAAGGAAGAATTCCATAGTCATCGATAGCTTCAGCGACATTCATGTGACGGGTTTTTCCATCTGGCCCGAGAATGACCAGCGTTGGTAACGTTGACAGCATGAAGTGCCGAGCCAATTTCGAGGAGCTTTTGTCGTTGAACGGCAACGCAAGCCACGGCTTGGTCTTAAAGTCCTGATTGAAAGACTCCTCATCATCTTCAAGAGATATCAACACAATCTCAAAATCCTCTGTCCTCTCCTTGAGCTTCGTATAAACCTCAACAAGCTTTGGGGTAAACTCTCTGCATTTACTGTAAGAGGCGACTGAGAAGAGAAGGCCAATGGTTCTACCTTCAAGTTCCGATACAGGTACCTGATGAATATGCAATTGATCGGTCTCATTAAGTCAACTAAGCCTAAGAGAAACAGGTTCCTAATAACTAACTAGTTAAAGAGTCTTGTATATATACTCATACAAAAAACGATTATCATACAAGCTATTATTTAAGGGGTACCTTGTTTCCATCTGGCGAAATCACAAAGTCCCGTGAAGGAGTAACCAAGAGGGATGACAATGTCTGCTCTCTCCGAGCTCTGTCTTCTTCCTCTTTGATCTCCTTCATTTTCTCTGGTGTGAAAGGATAAGCATCAGCTCCATAGCTTCGTATGACACCAACCCCATTCTCATTCAAAAGTTTACCATGATCATCAACCATCACAAGGTTAGGGATTCCCCTAACCTTAAAAAACCCATCCAAACGGTCACGGGTTACTGAATCAGCAAACGGAACAGCGAGCCATGGCATCTTGCTGAAATAATCACTAAAAGACTCTTCATCCTCATCGCCGGAGACAAAAACAATCTCGAAACCAACTTTTGAAGCGAGCTCGTTGTACACTTCCACCAGCTGTGGAGTAAACCGCTGACATGGTCCGCACCACGCAGCTGAAAAATACAACCCAATCTTCTTCCCTATCAAGCTGTCAATTTTAACCTGAACATCATAAAATTTACATATAGTCAAACTCTACCCATACATACACAGGCTTAGGGATTACAGAAGAGATGTGAAAAAAATCTCATCACGAAGATAAAGGTCACAGCAACGCAACACAAGGACACGAAGCCATCTCTCATCAGTAAATCATCTAAGAACAAATCCTAAGCTTCAACAAGAATCGGTTCGTAATTCGAAAGATCGAAGACGACAAACTTAAAATCAGGTTCGACTACAGAAAGAGAGAAGCGAGAAACTGTTTCTTAACCTGTTCGCCGTCATTACGAACGAGGAAATCCCTCGCCGGAGACGAGAGAAGTGATTGAAGATCCTGGGCATCTCCTCCGTTGACTTCCTTCGCGATTTCGGCCATTGATTTGTACGGGAATCGAAGTTGGAGAAAATCGCAAATTAACGAAGAGTGCTCTGTGGCAAGTATGCTCAAAGCGTTGGGACAAAACGTCAATTTTGAAGTATTTATTCTAATCCAAAATTTTGTATTCCTTAATCACTAATCAAAGACCTTAAAATTGACCATGAAAATTTGTTGGCTAACCAACACGTTATATTTGGTTTCGCTTCCCGGTTTAGTTGATGATTGAAAGCCATATCTGGTAAACCGGAATCGTCGCCTCAGCGATTCAAGATGGGGGTGTAAATTGTACTATCAAAATATTTGGGGTCAATCCGAAATATTTACAAAACTTCTAGTTTACAAAATATTATTCCTCGTAACGACTACAAGGCACGTTACAGTCAAAACTTCTAGGTAATTTTTACAATATCATTTTTTGTGGTTTGATAATTGAATTGTGTTTTGTGATTTATATCGTGCTCGTGGGTTACGTTTGAGGAAACAAAAGCTTTAATCTTTCTCTTTACAACTTTATGATTCGTTTAAAACTAGTGTAATGGCGATATTATTAGTTTGAGTTTCAGTTCTTGTTTGATAGATGTTGGCTGTGTTGAAACCCTATGTTGGGTTAGAACTGGTGATATATAGCTTTCAAGTCAAAATTGTGCTCTATTTGCAATTCATAGTGGCTTATCAAAATCACATTTTCTCTGTTCTGATTCACAAGTGTACATGCTTTTGATATTGCTAAACTTTAACTACAATGACTGAAAGTGAAACCTAATTAATGAGTTAAGGCCGGGGGCAACTAGTGTCTAGTGGTCACACTCTTAGTGTGAAAGCTTCAATTGTTCCCAGTTCCCACAATTCTCAGTAAACATCTTACCTCTTAGAGTTGCTCAATCCAGTTTTCGGTTTATGAAATATCGAAACTGAATGCCATGTGGTTCGATTCTTTGTTACCTTTTGCGGCTTGCTTCAGTTTTGGCTACTGATCTGTTCATATATCGTAAGAATGTTACTGGATTGGTACCATTATTGCCTGCCATATCCAATACTATAACGGGAAATATGGTTTGTTTACAGTTTCGTAATCAGGAAAATATTAATAGGATCCATGCATGAGTCTTGCGGAGGACAATTGGTGTGATTCTACGGATTTCAAAGATAAGAGACTGTCATTTGGCAGACTTTGAAATCATAGTTGGTTCTGAAGGATTATTGTACTCGCAAGAAATGAACAACCAAATGGTTTGAGGTTAAATGAAGCAATTCAAAGTATCTTAACGTTTTGACTATAGCAACAAAAGTTTAAAGAAACTTTGACGTTTTGAATCTCCAAACCGTAACAACATCGATGAGCCAATAAAAATAGATACCGAGGGTGCAATATAGCTGGAGACGATTAAGTTTCAATGGAAGAATATCAAAGTTTTGTAATCCTATTAAAACCATCAAGTACAAATACTAGGATACATAAAACCATGTCAACAAAAATATCTGAAAAGTATTCCAGAACTGCATGTTTGTAAGGTAAACTGAATGTAAGATGAGACAACAAACAACATAATGTAAGCATGCATAACAACATTACAGTAGTGTCTCCTTGGGAGTACTTTTGCTTTTCTTGATGATGTTACTCACGCCCAGTTACAAGAATTTTCCTCAAGGCAGTACAGTTGTCCCTAAAATATGATACAAGTACCTTTTTACTTGGTGTCTGTGGTGTCTTCAGATGAAGAGAGTGGAGAGAGGATAACACACATTGAGGCACTGGTGACTGTTCAATCTCCTCTTTCTCTGGTATGTGGTCAAGTTCCTAATAGTCATATAAACAAATTAAAATTATATATGCTGAAAAGTTCTATATATTGGTATATGAATGTCAATGTAATAACATGAACAAAAAGGCAAATGAAACGCACCAGAATCAGCGAGTTTAGGTTCATGCAGCATCCCAGAAAGGCTGCTAAATATTCCCAAGAAGATTCGATTAGCAAAACTTCCAATCGAGACAAATTATGAAATTTGGGCAACGTTGTCACCTCGGAGTATTCATGGATGACCTGTGTATAGCAAGAAAGAATGTAACAATGTTAGAAATGAAATTGTATACAATCTTATATTAAAGTGCATAATCACTTAGACGTATACATGTAATGTTCGGGCAGAGATTGTCAGTTCTTGAAACTTGGATATCCCAATAAGGAAGTTGCAGATCTTCATAACATCCAAATACTCGTAAAGGTCAACGTCCTCAAACACAATATCGACGTCTGCTTCTGCTGAGAGACCAATATTGCTTATGATAAAGCCCTCAGGCTGGAAATCACTGATACTCATATACTCGAGTCTCGGAGCATCGATTACAACATCGGGATCTCGTTCTTCTTCCTTGGGACGCTCTGACATCAATGTGAAGGTTTTCAGTGACTGAGACTGAACACACACAAGTTCCAGATCATCTTGATAATGCGTAACCACGGTTAACTCCTCAAGAACCGGACAGCTTGATATGAGATTCTTGAAAACGTCACCGCCATCAAACTTGACCCCCTCCAGTTGCATAATCTTGACACGAGGTAACGAGACCGATTCAGCTCCTGGATCATCGAAGACAACAGTGTAGAGATTCAAGTCCACCAATGTGGAGCTTGAATAGAGGGAGAGAGGCATCCTAACTAAGGCTGCATCATTACTGACCATGTTGATAAGAGTGAGATGAGAGACTCCACGCCTAACCACTTTGTCTAACGTAGACACAAAAGGCTCATGAGAGTGCTCATTAACAACACCATAAACCAACTTGAACGTGTCCAACTTTAAAGAAGGCGGCTTAGAATCCAAGAAGTAATCTATGAAGTCGAGCAACTCGAAATCAGTATCTATGAAGTCATTGAAATGCAAATCCAAAACAGGAACTTCTGACCAGAGATATTCCCAACGGCGATTGAAATAACTAGTGCCAACGGACTCCTTGGTAGAGAGATGAGTGAGGATCCGAACTAACACATCACATGGCAAGTCGCTTATCCTATCTCTGCCCACGTTGGTTTTGATACGCTTCTTGTTGCTTACAGATGTGTTTAGAGACGTCCTCACCATGGCCTCGACCTCCTCGAAACCCTAAATTTCACACAAAGCTTTACGATTAGTATTACTGTATTAGTCACCGTTCAAAGTACCAAAAATTAGGGCAGAGAGAGAGAGAGAGGGAGAGACAAGAGAAGAAGAGATTAGTGAAGAGATTAGGACAGAGAGAGAGAGAGAGACAAGAGAAGAAGAGATTAGGACAGAGGTTAGGGTAGAGATTAGAGTAGAGATTACAGCTGAGATTAGAGCAAGACACAGAGAGAGAGGAGAAATGAAGAAGAACCTTGAAAGCAAAAGAGAGTTGAACACTTGAGTTAGCACTTAGCAGGCAGAGATCTTGTGGCTAAAAATTTTGTGTTTTCTTGAGGGATTAAAAAAGTCCACAAAGACACGTCTCTCAAATTTCAAACTTCGTTGACTAATTTTGGGTATTTCATTTAAAAGTAAATATTATTTTTTTCTTTACTATAAATGATTGACTAAATCTTATCTGTCTTTCATTTTCTACTTTTGTAATAAATATGGTCAAAATATTTATATTTTTGAACAGAAATTTTACAATGTAAATAGTAAGAAGATAATTTATATAAATACATAATATTTTCATAATATAGTATACTATTTTTAATTACATATAATTATTTTTTAAACTTACTTTAGTTAACAATTAACTAGATACTTATAAAGCAAAATATAAGTAAATTATAAGAACTTTTAAACTGAATTTATGGATATAAACAATAGAAAAAAATAATTTTTAATTGTAAAATTTCAAATTTTAAATACTAAATTTTTTTATTTTTTTTTGTGCACCAACTAAATATTATTATATATGATCCCTTTTGTCGCTATATTTTGTGATCCATCTCACAGTTGTCTTGAGCGATGATTTATAAGCTACAATTAAGTCCACAAAGACACGTCGTGACCTTTCAAATTTCAATCTCTCTAGACCAATTTTGGGTATTTTCATTTAACTTTAATTATTATTTTTTCTCATATCGTATTACATATGATTGACTAAATCCTATTTATCTTTCATTTTTTACTTTTGTATTTAATATGGTCAAAATATTTATTCTTTGTATATTACTTGCCAAAATAAATAGTAAAAATCATTAAAATAAACACATCAGATTTTCATACTATAGCATACTATTTTTAATTATTTATAATTAATTTTAAACTTACTTTAGTTAACAATTAACTAAAGTAATAAAGCAATATATATAGTATTAAAGAGAAAATAAAAACTTTAAAAAGAAATGTATAGGTAAATCATAGAGCAATATAGGTACATTCTAAAGCAATATATGGGTAAATTTTATACAAATATAATATTTATAGTATTATTTAAGCAATGTTGATAACACTTTAACCAGATTAGATGTTGCCTATTACGAAAAATGTCATTATAAAATCTTATATTTGTTTCCTTCTTATACAATAATCAATTTAAGGTTTTTGAAATTCATTTAACAGAACATTCAAGTTTACCAGAATAGGTAAGTGAAATTATGGAACAAAAGACTGAGAACAAATAAATTTAAACATAAAAGTTCAAAATTTAGATAATATAAACTTTATTGTGTTTATACCCCTTTAATTGAAAGATGTAACTACATACTGTTTCGTTAAAAAATCACCGATTTAATTAGTTATAAGTATTTTATTAATTTATATTGACTGCTTCGACTAAATGAGATCACTCATAAAGTAAATCGTTATTATTATAGATGAGCAAAATATCAATGAAAGTTGATGTTAAGACATTTTATTAACACTTGAACTAAATGATTGCTAAAATCTCTAATCTCTAAAATTCAGTCGAAATTAGTTTTGAATGGGTTGTTTTTGTAGAGATTGACTCTTTGACAAGAGGTTTGTTTATGATCTTCATAGAAGAATTTACTAAACGAATTCATCGCCTTCTAAATAAACATGGGAAAAATGACATAGTAAATTAACTAAATTCCAAATTAGATAAAAAAAAATATTTAAACTCTAAGAAAATAGCAAATCATGAATTTACAAAAATGAACCCATGGATTGTAAGAGAACATTAGATTTTACATAGGATAACAGTCAAAGCGTTACACATCTAATAAATGGATTATCATATCAGTGATAACAGTAATAAAAATAATTAGTAAATGTATTCATAAGATGTTATTCTGGGGACAACGATATATGTATATACTTTAAAATTATCTTCTTTTTTTATTATTTGCTTGTTGGTAAAATATAAGTATATGAACATTATTGTCGGCAAAACATCGAAGAGCCCATCATCGCACCAAGTGCTAAAACGCGGGATTCTATGGCAGCCATTAATGGAACACAAATACTATAAACTATAAAATGTACTAAAGTTACATTGGTCGCACGTTAGCCTCCACCACCACATTTTTGATGATCCATTTTCTTGAATATATACATCCTCTCCAAAGATCGATATTGAACTCTAAATCTTTCATAACTCATACTATGTTTGTGAAAAATTTATAATAATGGTGCAAGAGAGATCATTTGTAAGTTTACTTAAACCATTTCGGCTCTTACTTATTTTAGCATTTCGTTTCGGACCGGTAATTGCTCTCTCGATATAGGATTCTGTACTTTTGTATAAAATTGAGAAGAAGCAAAAGTAATAGTATACTAATTTTAAGAATCTTTGTTTTGGTGGGATACAGATTTATAAAAGTCACCTATTATATTATTAGTCACTCTTAACAAATCATGATATGTCTATATTAATTTCTAAGTATATATAACTTATAGATAAGTACATTGTATTCATTCATGAGGGAGAGTAGTTAATACTTTATACCTAGGGTTCAAGGATCCAAGTCCATTAATACAAGTTTTTTAGTGATCCAAACTATCATTACTCATTAACACTAAGTTCAAGAACTTAACACTAATCAAAAACTACTAATTTTCAAAATCTTGAACTAATTTTTTATATATATAACTATTTGCTTTCTCTCTTTATTCAGGAACAAGCAGTCTCTCTCAGCTTTTTCTTTTTCTTTATATTTCTCTTTTTCATATAATTATGATCTTTTTGATACTAACTATTGGGGAGAGATGTATCTTTAAGTATTACTTTATGCAGCCTTTATTTAGTTATTCAGATTCTTATTTTAACTTGATTTAATTGATATGTTCCCTCTTTCTTGACTTTTTTGTATGTTTTAGTTATACCAGCTAAAGCTTCTTCTTCTTCTTTTTCTTTTGGACTCTTTTAGCCTATTAGGAGTTGATTAAAACAGTAAAACCAAGATTTATTAATATGTTCTTTTGAGAAACCTAATAAAGTTGATGAAGAAACGTTTTAAAACTCTTTAAATTTGTAACCTGAAGCTTCTAAAACGGCTATGGTAGTGCGTTAATGAGTTTTTGGATTTTGTCTTTAAGAAACTTATTTAATTAGTAGTACCAATCAACATAAATTTTCATATTCTTAAACAATATTCTTGGTTTACGTTCCCAATCTTTTTGAATAACTCAAATTTATCGAAATGAAGTTTAAAGAAACGAAAATGTACCAAAACTAAAAGCAAAAGTCCCGACAACAAACTATTTAACCATTAAAGGTCAAAATTGAACCATTTACAATTGGTTAATGTTTCATAATATATTTTTCAGAATTTTTATTTTTTATTTTTATTTTTTTTACTAACGTAATGTTCATAAATTATTTAAATTTGTAACTATAGTTTTAAATATCTTTTTAAATAAACTAAAAAATATTTTTAAAACGAAATTACCCATCGTGAAAATACAAGTCATAATCTATTTGTACCTAATAAAGTAGAAATAAAATAAAATAAAATAAAAACTGTTTACTTCTCAAATTTATAATTATGACTCACTTCATAGTGAAGTACTCTCATAACTTCATGAAACCATAGTGAAGTCTCTCATAACTCTCACTTCATACTATTTCTCCTTCTCAACCAACCAAAAAAAAAAAAAAAAAAAACTCTCTCAACCACCAAAGAAGATGAACAACACTGAAGCAACTCTACTCCTTTGCTTCTTCTTCTCCATCTTCTCATCTTCTCATGTAATAATGAATCATTCAATCTTTACTTTACTTTCAAAACATTTTCATATATTGATTTTCATTTTACCATAACCATTTACATTATTATTTTTGTGCACTTACACCTAAAAATGTAGGTTTATTTCGCCGGAGCTAACCAAACCGCCGGCAACATTACCACGTCGTCGTCGGAGAACCCATTCACACCAAAAGCCTCACTGTTACGTTATTGGAACAATCACATCAACGGCGGCGATTCACCAAAACCTTCTTTTTTCATCTCAAAGGCCTCTCCTCTAACCCACGTGGAAGCCACGCGCTTCGCCTCACTCGCTTCTAATCACGCGCTTCACACGCGCAGCTCCTATTTCTGCTCCGCCGCGAAACTCTTTTGCTTCCCGGAGCTCTCCTCACATTCCCTCGAAAAACACGGCGATGACGTCGACTTCGCCGCGTACAGCGGCAAGAACTTCACTAACTACGGCTCCGACCGTCTCTCCGGAGCTGACTCGTTCAAAAACTATTCCGGCGGTGACAACATCGCCGTTGACTCGTTCCGACGTTACAGCCGCAACTCCGCCGGACACGACGACGGGTTTACAAATTACGCCGGAGATGTCAATGTAGCTGACCAAAGCTTCTCGACTTACGCCACCGGAACAACCGGAGGCTCCGGCGAATTCGCGAGTTACAACACAAACGCAAACGAACCGAATGGGATATTCACTTCTTACTCCGACAAAGCCAACGGAAGATCACAAACCTTCACTTCTTACTCCGGCAACGGCAACACCGGAGAGCAAACGTTCACAAGCTACAGCAAAAACGGAAACGGAGCTCCGAATGATTTCTCGGGTTACGGAACCGGGTCAAACGTCGTCAAATCGGGTTTCACCAAATACGGAGAAAACGGTAACGGAGCTAACGACAGTTTCACGAGCTACGGAGGAAACGGTAACGTTCCCGTTAACGATTTCAAAGGTTACGGTGACGGAGGAAACGGCGCCGTTTATGGTTTTAAAAACTACAGAGACCAATCCAACATCGGAGTTGACTCGTTCTCTTCTTACGCTAAGAACTCGAACAACGAGAAGGTCAATTTCGTAAATTACGGTAAATCTTTTAACCTCGGTTCAGATAATTTCACCGGTTACGGCCAAGGTAACGTCGGAGGTAACGTGAGTTTCAAAACTTACGGCCAAGGTCCGAGTTTTAAGGAGTACACTAAAGACGGCGTCGTTTTTGCGCATTACACTAACAACGTGAGTTCCAGTGGCAAAACGGTGAATAAATGGGTTGAGGAGGGTAAATTCTTTAGAGAATCGATGTTGAAAGAAGGGACTTTTATGCAAATGCCTGATATTAAAGATAAAATGCCTAAAAGGACGTTTTTGCCCCGGAGCATTGTTTCTAAATTACCGTTTTCTTCTTCCGAGATCGGAGAGATTCGAAAGGTTTTTGGCGCCGGAGAAAATTCGTCGATGGCGAATATAATATTGTCGGCAGTTTCGGAGTGTGAGAGACCGGCGAGCCACGGCGAGACGAAGCGGTGCGTTGGATCGGCGGAGGATATGATTGATTTCGCTACATCGGTGCTTGGACGCGGCGTGGTGGTGAGGACGACGGAGAATGTTGTCGGGTCAAAGAAGAAGATTTTGATTGGTAAAGTCAACGGAATCAACGGTGGAAATGTAACGAGAGCTGTTTCGTGTCATCAAAGTTTATACCCGTATTTACTGTATTATTGTCACTCGGTTCCTCGGGTACGGGTTTATGAGACGGATATACTTGACCCGGAGAGTTTAGAGAAGATTAACCATGGTGTTGCTATATGTCATATTGACACGTCAGCTTGGAGTCCGACTCATGGAGCGTTTCTGGCTTTAGGTTCGGGTCCGGGTCGGATTGAAGTCTGCCATTGGATCTTTGAGAATGATATGACTTGGAATATTGTTGATTAAGGTCTTGGTCATTTTTTTATGATTACATTTGAGATTTGATTTCTACATTTAGTTTTTTTTTTTTTTTTTTTTTTTTTTGTAATACTGTAATTCTTTCTCATTTTGATTCATGTTATATGTTTGAGTTTGTTATAAATTATGAAAGCAACCTCCATTATTAGCATAAGTCTCTCTTCTTCTTCGCTTCATCTCCAAGAAACAAAACACTCATTCTTGAGTTTGATCTTTATCTCTCACGATCCAATATTTTTCTTGAGTTTCACTATGGCGAACGAATTGGACAACGTTGGACTGTCCAACGTTGAAGATGAAGTAATAATCTCACGTTTTCTTAAGCGTATGGTCATCAACGGAGATTCAATGCCCGAGCACTTCATCCAAGACGTTGACGTGTTCAACAAGAATCCAAATGTGGAGTTCGATAGTGGGAGCCCTGCCTTCGTGATCGTTAAGCCACGAACAGAGGATTCTGGTATAACTGATGGATGCAAATTAGGTTGCTGGAGGATCATTGGTCGTGATAAACTGATCAAATCGGAGAAGACTGGGAAGGTTCTAGGGTTCAAGAAGATTCTCAAGTTCTGCGTAAAGAGGAAACCAAGAGAGTACAACAGAAGCTGGGTAATGGAAGAGTTTAGGCTTACCAATAACTTGAACAAGAAGCAAGGTCATGTGCTTTGCAAGATTCGTTTTCTCTTTGAAGCCGAGACTAGTTCCTTGCTAGCCAAGCATTTCTCGTATCTCCCCACTACTGAAGCCGTACCGGTTCCTGCAACTATAACACTTCCAGGGTATGGTAACAAACCACAGACTCCACAAATGGATAATGAATCATATCTGCTGCAATTGATACTTCCTTCAGGAGAAAACAATTGGCCTAGCTACGTTACAAACAACGTGTACCGCTTGAATCCATGGAAGCTTGTGAATTTTCGTGATCGGGTGTTTCTAAAGTTAGGAATCTGCATCTACGCTAACGAGACTTGTCGTGATACAGATGTATGCGATGGTGGTAAATGGATGATCCTGCACCCTGAGAGGCTGATCAGGTCAACGTCCGGGGAGACCATTGGTTTCAAGAAGGTTTTTCAGTTTTATGCAACGAAGAAGCGATATCAACTGTTGAAATGGCGAAGCAAATATAAGAAGGTAACTTGTACCATAGAAGAGTATAGGCGTGCTGAAATGTTGATGCAGAATAAAGTGTTGTGCGTTATCAAGCTCACTTTTGAAGATAACTAGCTTGGGGACTTACGCAACATTTCTGAGTACTATGTAATTGATCATGAGTACAGAGAAGAGGATACTTGTGTGTTTAAAACATTCAATATTGATCATGAATCATTCAAACCAAAATACTAATACGATAATAATTTTGTACCTTTTTTTCATTGATATAAATATAACAACTATAAAGTGTTAAACATTTTAGTGCCAAAATTTGAACATAATACATTCTTGTTATATATCCATTTTTTTGTTAATTATTCCTCCATATATATCAAGAAATTTCTCTTTTACTATTTGTATCGAAACAAGACTGTACAAGGAGGAAGATGTGAAGGAGTCTTGGCTTATAGATGAGTATAGGCTTGACGATAAGGAGAAGCAGAATAAAGGGTGGAAATGGTTGCACAAAAATGAATGAGTTGGAAAAGAATAAGTTGAATAAAAAAATTTGAATAACATTCAACCTATTCATCTGCAAAATAGGAGATGAATGAGTTAACAACTGTATAATTAGTTCATTTTTTCAATTTGTTAAGTTGAACGAGTTGAATAATTTTTCCAACCTCTTCAACTCAAATGGTAAAAACTAGTTGAATAATTTTTTTCAACCTCTTAAATTGTGCAACCATTTGCACCCAAAGTGTTGTGCCTTATCAGAAAGTTCTCTGCTAGTCCTCACTACTAAACCTAATGTGATGATAGGCACGTTCTTGTCTTTTAAACTTCAACGTAATCTGATCATGGAGTAATTAAGAGTCTTTGGTTTTGTTGTTTCAACGATAGAGACTATAAAGTTTCTTATTTCTCTAGTCAGTTTTATGCTTTTTTCATTTCACATGGTTTGAGCTTAAATTGTGAGAGGAGAGGCTTGTAATTAAAATACAAATAACGCATTATTGTTATGAAATAATTAAAAAAATGAAAGATGAACAACAACAACGAAACCATTGATTAGGTGGTCATACCACACTGCCCACCAGGTCCACCGAACGTGAGCATCTCTCCACTGCCTAGTTCAAACTGACGATACCATACACCGTAACACTCTGGACTATTCACATATTCCTCAAACCCATTCGAGTCAATATCATACAGTCCATCATCATAGAAAATCTTAAGTTGTTTCATGAAACATGATAAATTTTTTATACGCCATACTTGTTTCGGAAACGTCCCTGCCCCCATTGGAGGGCTGGTAGCTCCATAAGGCCCTCCTGCATATCCACCGAAGTAAATTTTTGATACTCCTTCCATCGAATAAATGTGAGATTGCCAATAGCCTATCAAGGTCCGTTTCGTCATCAACAACCAGTTTTTTGTTTTGGTATCCTGTATGATTTGTACATATAAATGTTTTTAGTATTACTTGCTAAATTCTTGAATAGAACTAAGAAATATTTATACTTTCATGTGTTTCTTTTACCTGACCGACGAGAAGATGAGTATCGTACTGTTTTTTGCCTAGGACACTAAATTTATCATAAACCATTCCAGGGTAGATTGTTTTATGGACTTGGACATATCCCCCTCGACACATCGCATTGTAGCATCCGTTTTGGTGTCTACCTGACTTTTAAAATTAAAATCTAGTTAATTAATGTATACTTATTTAGTTATGAACACATCAAAACCAAAGATATTTAAAGTCATATCAAGGTTGAGAATTGGATTAAAATATAAAGTGTAACGTTACTTACTATCCAGAATGTTGTTAGCCTTGGACGATCATCTGGGTACAATCCTGTATGCACCTAAAAGACAAAACCAAATGCATGTGCGATAGCTTATAAGTTCATAACTCGACATATATGATGATTTTAATGGACAGCTCTCTAGCTACATTTTGTAGTATACTTACAGCCCAACCGAATTGGATGCTGCTTATCGTATCATTTTCTCTGTGATTTAGCCAAACCCAAGCTTTGCTAAACTGATCTTTCAATACTCTTGGTTTGTAAATATTGAAAAGTGCTGATGCTCCACCATATGTCCTTGTGTAATTGTCAAATGGTTTAATAATTGCATACTAACCAAAAATAATTTCTCATGTTATTACATTATTTTTAAAAAATAAGAATAATAATTGTAGTTTAAGGTCGTGGTTAAGATATACTTACTTGTAGGTTGGCTTCTGAAATCATTCTCTCCGGATGGATAAAATTATTAGTATAGTTAATTTGCGGTCTGTGAATCGGTACTTGTCCTTTAGGACAACGTTCTTCAGATGTACCAGCGACCAGATCTGCTGCTTCTGGTTCCGGCTCCATCGATAGCATGGCTTGGAACTCGGCACTTGGTCTCGTCTACGATTTATACAAACAAAGCATTTGAGAAATAAATCTTGATGTCAAAATATTTCCATGGTTATACGTTACATACATAAACTTTATATTGATAAACTCAACTTTATAACGATCATGAACATATATATATATACCTGGATTTGGTGATCCTTCATCGATGGATGTTGAAATGCAGGTTGCTTATAGATGTCAACACACTCATATTCTAGTTCTCTCTGTCATAAACATTTATTTAGATATATGAGTCAACATACATATACAAACAAATAATGTATATATTAAGTTTTGTTATTGTATGACTACCTGAACTGATGGAGAGATATGATAAGAGAAAAAACAAATGAAGAGACATAATAACCAGTAGAAAGCCATAGCTTATTGTTTTGATCACATTCTGGTTTGCAGAACAACCTAGTATAAATATATCCTTAAAACTCTTAATTAAGAAGATTATACAGTCTTTAGTCAGCGTTATTAAGAGTCATTTCAAAGTAGTTACCAAAAGAGACATGGTTGGAAATTGAAAAGTCAAAGCTTGTTGATTTTTTTTCCTCATTTGTTTCCGTTATATAGATCGTGGTTAGGTTATAATATACCCGCAGCCAATAGTAATTTACCAAAGTTCATAATCTTTTTGGTTAGTCAAAGTACTGTGTTTTTTGCCGTTAATCCAAATGGTAGTTTATAATATTGACTAGTCGGTGTCCGCGCTACGCGCGAAATTTTTATTATATTGTTGATGAGTAATTTTTATTATGTTGTTTATGAGTAATTTAAAATTTTCAAAACTGATTATTTGACTAAGACTTGACAAATCTATATTTTTGTTAACATTTGTGCAAGTGCGTATGGAGGTGAATTCGTGGGCATCACGTCACACCAATGGTCATATCAAAAACCTTCTTCCTCATAGATCAGCCGAACCGAAAGGATTTATGGAAACGCATTGTACTTTAAAAGAGCTTGTTAATGACGGAACGCGAACCTTTTTACCGTGTCAATGGAACAACAGTGTCGGTACCATTCATGAGTAGCTCTCATAAACAATCCAGGAGTAGATCTACAAAGTTTAGGATCGAATCAGGGTTTGAAGCTTCAAGTTATTTCAATAACTTTGAGCTTGATGTGTCAATGTACCAAAAAGCTTATGCTTGCACTGGCTTTCATGTTCCACTCTGTGGCTGCTCTTTGGTGAGGCCGATGGATTTTGTAGCAAATCATCCAATTGTTTTCTTGATTAGAGAATACCAAACCGGAACTGGTTTGTTCGCTGGCCAAATCTTCGATCCTTCTGCTTTGGACCGGCCTTAACTGGATCAAGATTTGGTTCTTTCTCTAGTTTTTCGATTTTTTTCTTCTTTTCATAATCTTTAAAAAAAATATATATATTTTACAAAGGTTTTTAACAATCTTTTGAAAATGTTACAATATATGTATATAATATATAAATTATGGAAGAATTTAAATAATATTTCAAATATTTTATTTTACATCTGTATCGAGATAAGATTACATACAACAAAGCTAACTATAAATGTAACCGTGGAAGAAGAAACAAGTCTCACGTTATCTGAAGCCTATGGTCGCTTCAACCCCAAGAAACAAGCACTCTTGCCTTTGATCTTTCTCTCTCTAGATCCCATCTTTTTCTCGAGACCATTATGGACGACGAACTGATCATAGCAGAAGACGATGTACTAGTCTCACGTTATCTGAAGCCTATGGTCGTTAACGGAGATTCTTGGCATCAGCATTTCATCAAAGACGAAGACGTGTTCAACAAGAATCCATCTGAAGATTTCGATACTGGGAGCCCAACCTTCGTGATCGTTAAGCCACGAACAGAGAATTATGGTAAAACTGATGGATGCAAATCAGGTTGCTGGAGGATCATTGGTCGTGATAAACTGATCAAATCGGAGAAGACTGGGGAGGTTCTAGGGTTCAAGAAGATTCTCAAGTTCTGCGTACAGAAGAAACCAAGAGGTTACAAGAGAAGCTGGCTAATGGAAGAGTTTAGGCTTACAGATAACTTGAACAAGAAGCAAGATCATGTGATTTGCAAGATTCGTCTTCTGTTTGAAGCCGAGACTAGTTCCTTGCTAGCCAAGCATTTCTCGTATCTCCCCACTACTAAAGCCGTACCGGTTCCTGCAACTATAATACTGCCAGCTTATGGATACGAATCACCAGATCCACAAATGGATGATGAATCATATGTGCTGATGATACCTGATTCAGAAGGAAACACTTGGCCTAGCTACGTTACAAACGACTTGTACCGCTTGAATCCATGGAAGCTTGTGAATCTTTATGATCCAAAGTTTTTTAGATTGGGCACCTGCTTCTTCACTAACGGGACTTGTGGTGTTACCGATGTATGCGATGGTGGTTACTGGAGGATCCTGCACCCTGATAGGCTGGTCAGGTCAAAGTCCGGGGAGCCCATTGGTTTCAAGAAGGTTTTTCAGTATTATGAAACGAAGAAGCATAGATATTTTTGTGAAGGAGAAGAAATACAAGATCGTAAGGTAACTTGGACTATAGAAGAGTATAGGCGTGCTGAAATAGCGATGCAGAATAAAGTGTTGTGCGTTATCAAGTTCACTTTTGAAGATAACTAGCTAGGGGACTTACTCAACATTTCTGAGTAGTATGTAATTGATCATGGTTTATGAGTACGGAGAAAAAACACTAATTAATATGCCTATGCTTCTGTTCTAACGATATAAACATATACTAATACGATAACAATTTTGTACCTTTTTTTTCATTGATATAAATATAACATAATATACAGTGTTAAAACATTTTTGTGCCAAAAATTTGAACATACTACATTCTTGCTATATATCCATGTTTTTATGTTAATTAATCCTCCATACATTACTTAAAATGAGGTTTTAATTATAAAATCAAGAAATCTCTCTTTTACTATTTGTATTGAAGCAAGACTATACACATGTCAACAAAATTAAACAACTATTTGTGAACATTTTTAACTGATATATAGTACTAACTATTTTAATATCTAACTAGTTTAATCATAAGCACAAAAAAATGATTAAACAAAATGATAAATGAAGGATAAATAGGTAAACACAAAAGTTTGATATAATAAATAACCAACTTAAAAGCTTCACTCAATTAAAACGTAAAGCCTCTCTTCTTCTTCTTCTTTTTCGCTTCATCTCCAAGAAACAAACCACTCAGTTCTTGCGTTTGATCCTTCATCTCTCTCCATCCAATATTTTTCTTGAGTTTCATTATGGAGAACGAAGTGGACTACTACGTTCAAATCAAAGATGAACTGTTCAACGCAGACGACGAAGAAATAATCTCACGTTTTCTGAAGCGTATGATCGTTAACGGAGATTCATGGCCCGAGCACTTCATCTCAGACGTAGACGTGTTCAACAAGAATCCAAACGAAGAGTTTTATTCTCAGAGCCCTAAGTTCTTGATCGTTAGACCACGCACAGAGAGTTGTGGCAAAACCGATAGTTGTGAATCTGGTTGCTGGAGGGTCATTGGTCGTGATAAACTGATCAAATCAGAGCAGACTGGGAAGTTTCTAGGGTTCAAGAGGATTCTCAAGTTCTGCTCAAAGAGGAAACCTAGAGAATACAAGAGGATTTGGGTAATGGAAGAGTATAGGCTTGTGAATAGTCGTCGGAAGCAAGATCAAGTGATCTGCAAGATTAGGTTTCTGTTCGAAGCTGAAGTCAGTTACTTGCTATCCAAGCATTTCTCGTATCTCTCCACTACATCACCGCTTCCTCCAGTTCAATTGTTACCAGCCTATGGAGCTTGTTTGTTCGATAAAGAAGCGGAAGGTTTATATTATCTACAGACGATCGTAGATTATGATGAGAACACGACTTGGCCTAGATACGTTACAAATGATGTCTACCGTTTGCATCCACTGACGCTTGTGGATCCTCAAGACGACAAGTTTAAAGAGTTTGGAACATGCGTGTTTGCTAACCGGACAAATACTTGTGGTAAAACCGGTGATTGCGATGGTGGTGGTTACTGGGAGATCGTGCAAAGTCATAGAGGGATCAGGTCAAAGACAGGGGAGATTCTTGGTTACAGGAGGGTTTTTGAATTGGTTGAAGAAGATGAGGATGAGGAAGAGGAACCAGGAAATGTTTGTCAAGGAGAAGATGTGAAGGAGTCTTGGCTTATAGATGAGTATAGGCTTGACGATAAGGAGAAGCAGAATAAAGTGTTGTGCCTTATCAGAAAGTTCTCTGCAAGTTCCTACTACTAAACCCAATAATTTCATAGGCACATTTTTTTGTCTTTTAAACTTCAACTTAAACTGATCATGCATTAATTAAGAGTCTTTGGTTATATTTTCAACAATAGAGACTATAGAGTTTCTTGTTTCTCTAGTCAGTTTTGCTAATATGCTTTTTCACTTCTCATGTGGGTTGTATGGTTAAAATAAATACAAATAACGCTAATCGCATTTATACAATGATATAACCAGCAATCGCAGTGATATAATAATACTAAAACAATGTTATTTTTTTTTTATTAATTCTCTAATAAAAACTAAGGCTCTTTATATATTTATTTCTTTCAGCATGTGTTCCACACTTTTTACATAAATAGAGTGGACCATGTACTTTGTTTCTTAGTCACACAAATATTATCTCTACCGGTACAAGAGAGAAGAGAGAGCAATGGAACATATTTTTGCTCTGCTTACCATTTTTTTGGCTTTACCTTTCTCTGGGAGATGCAGAGACGTTTTCAGCAGATCTCATTTCCCGGAAGGATTTGTCTTTGGAGCTGGTACTTCTGCTTATCAGGTTTGGAATCATTTTCTTGGCTTAATTTTCTTGAACCTTAGAAAACAAAACTGAACCAAATGTTTGGTCTCTGCAAGTGGGAAGGAGCTGCTGCAGAAGATGGAAGGAAACCTAGCGTATGGGACACTCATTGTCACTCTCGTAAGCTTTTCATCTTACTAATAGTGTTTGAAACAGATAATTATGCTTTTAAATCAATATCATTGTTTAGTTCTTGTTTTTAACTTTGCAGGTGACATAGGTAATGGAGATATTGCTTGTGATGGGTATCACAAGTACAAGGTTCTTTTTCTTCTCTGCTTTACTCTTACTCTCACCTTGAGACTACTACATTTATGAATTTTGTTCATCAAGCCTGAGTTCTTTATGACAGGAAGATGTGAAGTTGATGGTGGAAACTGGCTTAGATGCTTTCAGATTCTCCATCTCTTGGTCTAGGCTAATACCTAGTAAGTCTTCTTAAAATGTACACTCGGTGGTTTTGTTTCACTTGAAGAGATCAAGAACTTATTATTAGGTCTTGTCTCATTAGATGGAAGAGGCCCTGTTAACCAAAAGGGTCTACAGTTCTACAAGAACCTCATCCAAGAATTAGTATCCCATGGAATTGAACCACATGTTACACTTTACCACTACGATCATCCTCAGAATCTTGAGGATGAATATGGAGGATGGATCAACAACAGGATGATGTAGGCTAAGAAAAAGCATCATTACTTTAGTTTAAAATCTGTGATATGAAACTAAACTTGGTGTTGTATGTCATTACTGCAGCAAAGACTTCACTGCTTATACAGATGTTTGTTTCAGAGAGTTTGGGAACCATGTCAAATTCTGGACTACGATAAATGAGGCTAATGTGTTCGCTATTGGAGGTTACAACGATGGGGAGACACCTCCTGGTCGTTGTTCCATACCGGGCAAAAACTGCTTGTTAGGGAACTCTTCTAGTGAAACATATATCGCAGGCCATAACTTGCTTCTTGCACACGCCTCTGTTTCAAGACTATATAAGCAAAAGTACAAGGTATACACTTGTTTCTGCATGTATGAGTGATATGTTACACAACTCTTGAATGTGTGATTCGATGAAAAGGGAGCAACTATTATATACAAATGTGCAGGATAAGCAGGGAGGTTCTATAGGTTTTGGCTTATATTTAATGGATTTTACACCATCTACAAGCTCCGAGGATGATGCCATTACAACTCAAAGAGCCAAAGATTTCTATTTCGGTTGGTGAGTTCAGGCAAAAATGGTTCCACAAGGTTATACAAAATTGGGCAAAACTTTTCCAAAGGTAATCTGAAAAGGATATAGATATGCTCTTTAAAACTCAGGTTCCTTGGGCCTCTTATATTTGGAGACTATCCTGATACAATGAGAAGAACCATTGGATCAAGACTGCCATTTTTCTCAGAGGAAGAGTCAGAACAAGTTAAAGGCTCATCTGACTTCTTAGGAATCAATCACTATTTCGCAGCTTCGGTCACAAGCAGCAAATCCAATTCTGGAAACCCTGATTTCTACTCTGACATGGGCGGATATGTGACTTGTATGAATCAAAGTTTATCTTTTGATTAACATATTAAACAAAACTTTATCTTTTCATATTTTGTTGTTACTAATCATCTCTTCTTCGTTTTATTGGTTGGAAGACCTTGGTAATACTTCAGTTATGGAGGTATGAGTTTCAATGCTACCAAATTCAGATCTCAAAAACTAAATCTTCCTTATAAAGATAAGTCATGAAACAGAACAGTGTTACTAAACCATCTATCTTTTTGTTTGGACAAGTACCCTGTTGCTCCATGGACTATGGAAGCTGTTCTGGAGTATATAAAGCAGAGTTATGGCAATCCTCCTGTGTACATCCTTGAGAATGGTCACTCTCTTACTCTGATTTCTATCTATGTCTCTCATCTTTTTCCCTTAGTCTACTCAATTGATCTGTTGCCAATGACAAACCAATAGGTACACCAATAAAGCAACAGAAGGATACACCAAGAGTAGAATACTTACACGCTTACATTGGTGCTATGCTCAAATCCATAAGGTAAGTAAAAGTTTTTTATTTCATATTTTCTTCTCGTGTTATCTTAATGTGATAAAGAAAGAAAAACAAAGACATTACTACTTGTAGGAATGGATCAGACACGAGAGGCTACTTTGTATGGTCGTTTATGGATTTATACGAGCTTAGAGGTGGCTACCATGATGGTTATGGACTTTACTCTGTAAATTTCAGTGATCCTCATCGAAAGAGATCTCCTAGACTCTCTGCTCATTGGTACTCTAATTTTCTCAAGAGCAAAACCACCTTACTTGGTTCCCAAGGCATTAAGAAATTGCAAAGCAACTTCTAGTATTGTTGCATAAATATATTCTGATGAATATTTCACATATCAAATATGTCTCGTCTATTTTCCCAATATTCTCATTAATAGATGTGATTTTGAATTTAGATAAATAATTCATATTTAAAGATAATTACATAAGGTTTAAGAAAAACAAAAACAGAATTATCCTTCTACTCAATCAGTTAGCAAAAACAATCTACAAATCAAAAACTTTATATAAATACGAGTTAATCTACAATTATTTTTCCATAAGTTCATTGTTTCTCTGTTTCTGTAACTTTTTTTTCAGGAACCATGGCTCGAGTGTGTCAAACATGTGGATACGTAACAGCCGTGATCCATTGTATAACAGAAGGTCTCAACTTCTGTCTTACATGTGACTACCTGCGCCATCGTAATAACACCTTTCATGCAGGACATGTACGTTACCAACTCTGCGATCACTGCATGGTGAATCCATCTTTACTCCTCTGCTCAGACGATGGGATCTCTCTTTGCCAACCTTGTTATTCAAGCCATTACAATTGCACCACTCACGGCCACCGCATTCAAATCGTGAATCGCTTTCCTCTACACTACAATCAAAACAACAACACTTACCAGCATCACGGTCTTGCTCATGTGCCTCATGTGGTTCAACATCACGGTAATAACAACAATCAGCAGCAGAGAAGAGCAGGGATGTTTGAGATGAGCTGCAACGGGGATAATAACAACTGTGAGAGATGGATGTTTGCAATGAGATGTGAATCATGCTTAGCTTCAGACGCTGTTGTTTACTGTCGTGGCCACGACAAGCTTATGTGCCATAACTGCGACCAGATGCTTCACCTTCAAGAGGCTGTGCCGCCACATTTGAGGTGTAAGCTTTGCGGAAACTGCAAGAGACCTTCTAATAGTTTTCTCATTGGAGCAGACGGCCATCATTTCACATATCCACCGGCACCGATTGTTCTTCCGCCACCGGCACCGATTCATCCTCCGCCGGCTGAGGTGGTTTCAGCGGCGCTGTCCACAGGACTCAGTCTACATAATTATGATAGTGATCTTTTTGATGATGACTTTTCTTGGTTTGGTATGTAAATTAAAGATAGTGCTCGTTCTTTAGCTTTTATTTTATTTTATTTTATTTACTTCCTTTTCTTAGAGTTTTTATTCTAGGTGTATTATAAAATTGGATTTTAAAAAGGAAAATAAAAAACAAATTTGTTGCATTGAATATCTAAGAAGATAATAAAATGTCAAAACTAACTCCAATTTTTTCGGTTTGGAAGATATCCTTAAATTTTTGATTTTGGTAGAATTTTAAATTCTAATTTTAATCTCATCGTTTAATTAAATTCCCCAATGCAATTATTTGTAAAAATAAAATAAATTCCAGTTTAATTAATGAAAGTCAAGAACTAACTCCAAAATTTCTGGCGATATGATTTTCTCAGTATATTTTAGTTCCATTTTTTTTTTTACTATTTTATATAAGTTGACAAAAAAGAGACTATTTTATATAAATTATCTGGTTAAATGGTCATTTCACAACGAAGAAGTGACAAGTATAATAAAGGAGAAAAATTTGCACATTACTTACTAATTTTGTTAAAGAAAATTAATCTAATTACAGTATCATTTAAGAACTTTATATTATAAATCATAAAATAAAAAAAGTCTACAAAAATGTAATCAAAGAGAGATAACAAAGGACAAATCAGTCAATACACTAATTTGATATAAACGGTACCAAACGAATGAAGAAGAAGCGCCTCTCTATATATTTGGTACCTTCATTCCCAAGAAACATTATCATCTTCACAAATTCACATCTTTGACGTTTCTTGTTTCTCTCTCTCTCTCACTTCATCATCACCAGTTTCTTCTACGAGATCTGAGTTTCATTTAGGACGATGGAGCCAATACGTAACCTCCAATCAATCGAAGATGAAATCGTCGCAACTTATTTGAAGATGATCATCGGAGACGTTTCGTGGCCTCGCCGCTTCCTCCGAAGCCAAGACGTGTACTGCAAGAATCCAATGACGTTTTTCGCTAATCAAGCCCCTATGATCCTACACGACGGGCGTTACCTAATCGTTAACCGGAGTTTGGATTCTGGTAAAACCGATGGATGTGAATCTGGTTGCTGGAGGGTGATTGGTCGTGATAAACTGATCAAGTCGGAGAAGACAGGGAAGATTCTAGGGTTCAAGAAGGTTTATAAGTTCTGTGAAAAGGAGGAACCTAGATCGGTGTTTAAGTTCTGGGAAAAGGAGAAGAGAAGAGTAAGAGATAAGAGGGTATGGGTGATGGAAGAGTATAGGCTTGCGAGTACGTGGACTCAAGGTTACGTGATCTGCAAGATTCGACTTCTTAATCCAAACCCACTTGAGTTCATGTTGTGCAACCATGTTCGAGGTTACTATGTATGATTATTGATGATGATGATCATGAAACTGAAGACTTGACTTATGTTTTCTAGACTCTACGGCCAGTTTCTTGGTTTCTGTTGTTGTCTCTATACAATTTGATTTACAGTTATGATCTTCTACCTCAGGTTTTGATCTTTTATGATTTGTTCTTTTCAGAATTGAAACAGATATAGATTGGTTGAATCGTTTCAAAACAGTGGCATTGTAAGTTTTGGAATATACTATTGCTACCAATCAAAATCGATACGTTTTGGAATTTTAATGGTTTTATACATTATGCAATTATATTCAGTTTGCAATGAAGTGTTGAGATTTAAGGGTGTTTTGATCAAAAGTGTGTTTCGTTTTGATTTTTTTATTTATTTGGGCAAATCGTTTTGAATTCTAAGTTTGAGTATTTCGTTTGAATTTTACGAGTAATTTTACATTTATTTATCTATATATATAAAGTTAGCTTTTTCTCTCTTCTCCACCTAAGCCACATTTTTATTTAAACATTAAAATAAATTTAAAACATTCATTTAGTGCATATTTATGTTACTGATTTAATTAATAGAAAATTTATATACATAAAAATAAATTATGTAAAAAAAATGAAATGTTAAAATAAGAAAAACAATAGTTTAATTTTTTTTACTAGTGGTAATAATATAATTCAGCTTTCATTTTAAATTGATCATAATTTAATATTTTAAATATGTTACTGAGTTTTAGAATGGAAGTAAAATTTAAATTTATGGTAGACTAAAACAGCATTTATGTAATTGTATATATAAAATTATAAAGAGGAAAAATAAAATGAAAGTGAAATATTAGTTTATAACATGATCAAAAAGAAAAAAATGATATTTCATAAATTGAATCAAATGTTTTTAATCCAAATTTGAGTATTGAAAGATAATAATTAAAGAGAAAATAATTATAACATTTTTGAAAATCAATTAAAAAAATAATAAAAAGATTGCAATATTAGAAATTTAATTTGCTAAAAGAGTAGATATGAAGTATATCATATAACATGGTGCTATTATTTAAATAATAAATTAAAAAAGACTTTAAAATTAGATTAACTTTTACTTTGAAAACATTAAAAAAAAAAACATATTCTTGATTTTTCACCAACACAAAATTCTACAATTCATCCTAAAATGTTTCTAATTTTAGCTGGTTCAGTTTACAAAATAATACCAATAAAATTAACATGTGTCATAAATGACGGTATTAATTTCAAAACTTTTTTTCACTAAAAATTGGTTATATATATGGATTTTATGTGAAATTCGAAATTTAATTTTAAATTCCAGTATTAAAAACTGGACATTACTATTTTAATCTTTGTATAACTAAAAAAATAATTAAAAAAATTGAGCAGTTTTGTGAGAAATTAATTGTTACAATCATAATAAGGACTCAAGTGACTATGGAGATAAATAAGAAAAATTCGATTTTTGTGATTCGTATGTTCCGACAATGCGGCGACTTGGAATCATCACTCTCACCAATTCCGCCGCCGCCGTCGTAACTCCGACGCTACTCTCTGCAACGGCGGTTTTCCCCGGAACCCTAACTCTACCTTCTCCACCCTTCCGCAACCACCGTCTTACCAATTCAATTCGTTTCCTCGAATCCCGAAGCCTCTCCTTCTCTTGTTTCTCTTCTTCTTCGGCAGCTTATCTTCCTTCACTAGAAGAGTTCCCATCAACTAAAGGTGAATACTTTTCTCTTTATTTGCTGAGAAATGTGTTGAGTAGTAATTGATGGTTAATATATCTGTAAGGTTCTGTGGTGAGAGATGATAATCAAAAGGTGATCTTGAAGGGTATGACTTATTCTGCTCTCGAAGTAAGTTTTTTTGTTTAAATTCTCAGTCTTTTCTTCATCTGTCTTGGTTTTGGATTTCAATTTCTCCTTTTTTAAGGTCTGATTGAATCTAGAGAGATAGATGTTCTTGATCTTTGATTAGCATTGGGGTTATGTTCAACGTGTAGGAATGGGTTCAATCTCATGGGTTTAGACCAGGACAGGCTTTGATGCTGTGGAAGAGATTATACAAGGACAATATATGGGCAAATGATGTTGATGAGCTTGAAGGTTTGTCTTCTGATATGTCTTTATCTAGAAGTTCTTTTTGTGTTCTCAGTTAATGTGTTCATTATCTTATAGGTTTGAACAAAGATCTCAAGAGAATGATTAGTGAACATGCTGTGTTTGGTGCATTATCTTTTAAGGATATTCGTTCGGCTTCAGATGGAACTAGGAAGGTGAATTGATCGTTTCTTGTTTCGTGTTAATAGTTGAAAGTATTCCGAATTTCATATTTATGTGATGCCTTGATGATGTTGGATGAGCCACTCACTGGGCAATGGTTATTTCTCATTGAGTTTTGGGGAATCTTCTCATTGATTCATAACTCGCAGGACGTTGCAGATTCTGTTTACGTTGGATGATGGACTTGTGATTGAGACAGTTGTTATACCTTGTGATCGAGGCAGGACAACAGTTTGTGTTTCGAGTCAAGTAGGTTGTGCCATGAATTGTCAGTTCTGCTACACTGGCAGGTAAGCAGAAGAATTCAGATATTCTCTTGAGACACTTTTCTCAGCTCGTGATTTGTGGTTTAATGTATGTTTGTTAATTTCACAGGATGGGCTTGAAGAGAAATCTCACTACTGCTGAAATAGTTGAGCAGGCTGTCTATGCCAGGCGATTGCTTTCCCATGAAGTTGGATCAATAACAAATGTTGTCTTTATGGTATGCATGTTCGGTAGACAAAGAAAAAAACTCCCGTATATATTTTTCGGCATTCAACAGATTTAAGGTCTGTGTATACCAGTTTTTCATGGAGCTGGGTGTGTTTTGTAGGGAATGGGAGAGCCATTTCACAATATTGACAATGTCATCAAAGCTGCTAACATAATGGTCGATGAACATGGACTTCATTTCAGTCCCCGTAAGGTCACTGTCTCTACCAGTGGGCTTGTTCCTCAGCTGAAGCGTTTTCTCCGTGAGTCAAACTGTGCTTTGGCAGTTAGTCTGAATGCAACAACTGATGAGGTTTTGTTTCATGCTATCTCTTTAAAAAAGTCAATCATTTCATGAGGTATGATTTAACCCCATTGAACTTGAAACTTGCAGGTCAGAAACTGGATCATGCCAATCAACAGGAAATACAAGTTGTCTTTGCTCCTTGAGACGCTCAGAGAAGAACTCAGCTCAAGGCATAAGTACAAAGTGTTGTTTGAATATGTGATGCTCGCAGGAGTGAATGACAGGTTTGTGAAATCTTCACTAAAAACCACTGTGAAGCTCTCTGTTTCTGAATAAATGGTTCAGTTCTGAAACTATCATGAACTATGAACTCTTTAATTTTGTAGCATGGATGATGCAAGGAGGCTAGTGGAGCTTGTACAGGGGATTCCATGCAAGATCAACCTTATTCAATTTAACCCACACAGTGGTTCTCAGTTCATACAGACTGATGAAGACAAGATGATAAAGTTTCGTAACATTTTGGCTGAAGGTGGCTGCACAGTTCTCATGCGGTTTAGCCGAGGCAACGATCAAATGGCTGCATGTGGGCAGCTTGGCATGCTTGGGGCGATTCAGGCACCAGTGATGCGGGTGCCTGAGCAGTTCCGCACTGCTCTAAGAGCACCAGTTTGATTTGTTAAATGTCGGATGAGGGAAAAGAAAACAAAATCTCCATCGTGTTTGTAACGTAACTCTGATTAGATGCCAATTTTTTTTTTCCTCAGGGGTTCCGTAACAATGAGATTTTGTTAAAATAGGAAACTACAATTAACGTTGAGAGGAACTTTTTTCGTTGTAAGTTCCTACCAAGGTGTTATAAATTGGGAAAACGATCTCTGTCCCCCTATTAACTTTCATATAGCACAACCACACACTTTTTCAATCTCGATCTCAGTCTACCAAAAATGAAAGTTAAACTTCAGTTTCCACCCACTTTTAAAGTTCAAAACCTCAAGCCCCATATCGCAACTTCAGTCCCCATATCGAAACCCATAATACAAAATTCTTGGTTATCATTGGTTTATGACATCAATCTGATACAAAACCAAAAGAAACCGAATTGAAAACCCAATTCTAATATCCCCAAACCCAAAATAAATTCACACTCATAAATCCCCAAATTGAGTTCTTAAGAACCCTAATTTCAATTTCTTATTTTAGGGATCTTGTGATTTTTGGGGTTATTGGAATAGTTAATCGGGTTAATCGAGTTAGTTGATGGGTAGATCTGGTTCATTTATTTATTTTGGTTAATGATGGATTCGGAATAGTAAACCAATGATAAACCAAGAGTTTTGTATTATGGGTTTCGATATGGGGACTGAAGTTG